CACCAGTAGCCAGGAAATCAAAAAACGTATTGCAATGGGAAAGTCTGCAGTTAGGGACCTCTCTAAAGTACTCAGGAGCAACGGTGTCTCTCTGGAGACTAAGGTGTGCCTGATACAGGCCATGGTTTTTGCAAATCACTTGTTATGCATCAGAGAGTTGGACAATGACTAGGGAGGATAGAAGGAGAATTGATGATGCCTTTGAGCTGTGGTGCTGGAGAAGAGTATTGAATGTACCATGGACTGCCAAGAAAACAAACAGATTCATCCTGGAGAGGATTAAACCAGGCTGCTCCTTGGAGGCAAGGATTCTGGGGCTTCGCCTGACATACTTTGGACTTGTTGTAAGGAGAGACAGGTCTTTGGAAAGGGACATCATGCTGGGTAGAGTAGAGGGACAGCGCAGGAGGGGAAGACCCTCTATGAGGTGGATTGATTCAGTGACTGGGGTACAGGATAGAGCAGGGTTTAGGGCTGTTGTACATAGGGTCGCTACGAGTCGCAAACGACTCGAGGGTACATAACAACAACAACATTGTTTTTTATCCCAGATCTTTCCCATTTACTTCATCCCTCCCCCAATCATCAAATTTTGTGACCCCATTCTTGATATCAGGCGAATTGACAGCATCTAACACCCCCAACCCACCCCCACCCCCACCAGCAATTCTTTATGTGTAAAAATAAATTCACGTTTCAAACTCTGGTTGCCTGTGGTAGGAACTTGCTCTGTAATCCCAAAAGTAAGTTGAAATTTCATTATCCTTTTAAAGAATGTTCTGGTTGTTATTCTTTGAAGACTGCCTTTTTGTTCTTTCATCTATCCACGGTATATCCCATATTTTTCATTGGCATTGTAGTTTGAACATAGCAGTTCTTTCTTTTATTTTTTTCATTATCCAGCTTTTCTCAGTGGAAAAGACTATGGCTTAGGTCAAGCACACTCTAGTCATCAAAGTGACATCTTTGCTTTTCAAATCCTTTTAAGAGATATTTTTCAACATATATAATCTTCTCAATGCAACGTCCTATATTTCTGATATTCTTTGTTTTCAAAGAAGATCTGTCCAAGGGTAGCCATGACAACCTTCATTCCACATCCTCTTCTGCATCCATCTTTTTTTTTTCCCTTTTTTTTTCTTTCTGCATCCATCTTAAATTCTGGCAATTTTCTGTTAATGTATGGCTGTAATTATTTAATTGTCTTTGACATAATTTTTCTAGCATGTGAAATTAATGATACTTTTTGATAATTTCTGCCTTCCATTTGATTGCTTCACTTTGGAATAGGCTTTTAAATGGATCTTTTTCCAGTCACTTGGCCAGGTCGTTGTCTTCCAGGTTTCTTGAGATAAATGAGTAATTTCACTCTCTCATTGCTGTTAAATTGAAACTGACTCATAGCTAACCCTTCATTTGGATTTCCAAGTTTGTAAGACACATGGGAGGAAATTTCCAGATTGCCACCTTTCTCCTGGTGGGATGGATTTGAGCTACCAGAGATGCACAGCCTTTGGGTCAGCAGTGCACATCCCTACCTACCATGACATCAGAGTTTCCTGAGGCTGCTTCATCTATAAAGCAAAGGATCTAGATGGACTCTGGCCGGAAGAGAATTAGCTGTCATTTGGTGAACTTCATTTTTTAAAATTATTTTTGTAGTCGAAGATAAGAGTTACAGGCAGAGAACTTTAAAATAGCATCATATCAAGAGTCTTTTTTTTTTA